CTCCTCCCCCTACGGATAGAAGATCAACCACTTTATTTTATAAGCCCACAAAACCCCTACTGAGGTTGCATAAGCTCAGGGCTAATAATCGGACTTTAACAGTATATGGATAAGAAAGGTGCAAACATGCTCTCCGGACAATATTAGCCAATTGTTAGCCGGGGCACCGACAAGAAAATGGAAGGGAGAGGTTTGACTCCACTAGAACAGTAGCAACAATCGTATTGTGAATTATGCTTAAGAGACAAGAGATAAGTGCCTGCAAGGACAAAAGTATCCAGTTTGTTAAAAGAGAATAAAGCTAATATTTTTCCTAATCTATAGGTGTTACCTGGATTAAGCTGAGCAAGGATGAGGTCTGTTTTGGAGCCAAAAATAACTCATACGGAAAGTTCACTATTACTTCGAATGGGATTGTCATGACCATGAAGCTTGTGTACATTTCAGGCTTTGTCACGTGCAACAACAAACACGTGCCATACGGGAGTCACTGGGCATGCAAGAAAGGATCCAAACTTGCAACAATCGTTACAAATGCCAAAAACGTTGTGATTTTCCCGCAAAATTACCAGTACAGGGCTTATGTCTTGCCTGGTTACCATGAAAACTCGTCAGAGCTGGTCTTTAACGAGCTCTCGCCTCCCCTGAGAGTGGCTGCTGGAGATGAATACAGGATTTGGTATCAAGAAGATTTTGTGGACGGAGAAGAATATAACAATGATGGGCACACCTGTATTGACGTTTACGCTCGTTACACTGATTAGAACGAATTCTCAGAACGAAATGATATAACAAACAATATTGTGCTACTCTAGATTACGCCCAGTTTTCCGAAAGAAGATGACCTAAAGGATTCTGTAGCCATGGATAGACTGTACTGCAGTGTACTGGAGAAATTCATGTCTGGTTATTGTAATTGTTAGCTGTTGCCTGGTAATTGTTAATTTCATCAAGCCTGTATTTAAATATTTTTGCGAGTGATAAATGCTGGTTCTAGACCTCCACTCTTGCCGACCTAAGGATTTGAATACTTGTAAACTTGCAGACTTTAGTGCATAAGCAATAAAAATTGTATGTTGTGACAGAAATAGGGAGCTTCAGAAAACCAGAAAAGCAACGGCGTCAAGTAAACCTCGGTAACATTTCAACTCCGTCTACAGTGATGCGTTTTCGAAAAGAGGTGTATCCAGTGATTGTAAAAAAAAACTTCCTGTCCACGCCACTGTTTTCGCAGCGTCATCCCCATCCACACCAAGACAACTGACAGCATTGAAACATTTGAAAACATTTTCACAAGAAAACATTATAACCGTCATTTGCGCATGCGTCAGATAGACGCCCCAGATAGATGCGAAGTTTGTTGCATTTCGAAGAAGTGCCGCTATTTTCAAAGTAAACTCTCAAGAAGTCCGTTTACGAAAGAAATACGTGACAAGCTCAAGAGTATTGACAACCAAAACTGAAAAACCTGATTGAAATCAGTAGGAACTTTCATATGGACCGATACGAGCGTGAGTTGCTATTGAAAACTTTATTTAACTGATTTATAATGGTAATTGAACTGAGTGGAGTGCAATTTGGTCTGAAATCATACGCGTGATTTCAAAATCGAACGAGTGCGCAGCGCGAGTTCGATTTGAAATCACAAGTATGATTTCAGACTAAAATTGTACGACACGAAGTTCAATTGCCACTTTATTAGATCCATTTTGAAATCGCACAATTTTATCGCCTTAGATTTTAGATTTTGATGTATTGTTCCAGTAGTTGGTTAGTTAAAAATAGCGGAACCGGAAATGCCTTTACATAATTCTTTACATAACATTTAGTATGCAAAACGATGTCATGTGACGAAAACTCATTCGAGCACATTAAACAAAGGACAAGCAATATTCTGAGTCTTCTGAAGTCAGAACGAAAACAGTCTACTTCATGCGTAAAAGTTCAATTCTCGTCACCTGATCGAATCAATGATGGAAGGCCTTCCTTTCCTCTGTGGTTGAGGCCGGGACTTCTAGTTGTCTTTGGAGAAGGAATTTGAAGGTGCAGCCGGTTTAATTCTGCGATGGATTTCTTTTGAGTTGTGAAACTCCTTCGAGTGCACGATGTCCACTGGAAAGTTTTTCCCTTTTAAATACCCGTCCAATGGCACTCTAGGGATTCCAGCTCGTTATCATCTCCGTTTCTTTTTGTGAACTCGGCCTTGAACTCAATACTCAGGACCTTGTCAAGTTCTTGCGGCGCCATTTGTTTCAAGATATTTTCAAGATGGCGGGACTGGCACCAGCTTCGTAACACGTTCGTTCATTCACTGTTTTGTAGTTTTGACTATAGATGCTTATTTACAGCGACGATGTTGAGCTCTTGTGTTGCTTCGTTTGAAACTACCGGAAACCTGGAAACGTCTACCTTTTTGAGATGGCTCTGAATTTGTTGTTGTGTGGTTTTCGTTTGTTTATGTTTTACTGGACTCGGTATTATACGGATCTTGAACAGATGTTGGAGAAAAATCGCCAAAATGTTCGTCAAAATGGACACTGAAAGTTGGAAACTTCCATTAAAGTAGGTCTTTAACCTGAAGAAGCTTATAATCGTCATTCAGAAACTGTAATTAATTAAATTCGCCAATTTTTTTTGGGAAAAAAAACCACAACAAAGTTTTGGCAAATATAGTAGTTCCAAAATTCAACACACAATGGCTTTTTGCCCTTCCTTTTGCTGAAATTTTATTGATTACTCTGAACTAACCTTGAAATCTGATTGCTTGTTTTGTTTTACTGTCCCAGTCTCATTAGCTGAGAACAAGATGCGATTTGGAGCAAAAAATAGTGCGATTCGTAAATAAATCGCACCACTGAGAGCCAATCAGATTGCAAAGATAACCAGTGATTTCAAAATGGATTTAATATATAAATCGCACCACTGTGAGCCAATCAGATTGTAAGGATAACCAGTGTTTTTAAAATGGATTTAATAAAGTTCAAAACAAAGCATAAAATATAGTGGTAGTACGAGGACTTGACAGCTGTGCATGTTAGGTGAATGATGTCAGCATTTTCGAACGATGGAAAAATCGAATAGCTTCAAATGGAGGCTTTCTTTATATATAGCAAGCGGAACACCCTTTTATTAGATCATATCAAAGGATAGCTGGGCATAACGCAAAAAGGGGAATTTCTTTTAATGGATTTCAAGAATCTTTTCTATGCCATCCAACGTTTTGTGAATATGCATAAAATGAGGGAAAAGGAAAGCGCAAACGACAGAACTGAGGCTCTTCGTAACAAAACAAAGAAAGCGAAAGAAATTTTGCCATTTGTTACCACCCGGCCACACCGAATCTTAAAAAGATTCTCATGAAACACTGGCATATCATTCAACAGCAGGCTAGACTCGCACATATCTTTAACCAGCAACCGATTTTATCTTTACAGGAAGGAAAAATCACCCGAGGACGTTTTAGTCCGCGCAAAACTTCCTTCAGTCACGCCGCAATCATAAAAACCTGTAAACAAAGAAGCACTTTCAAAAGGTTTGCTTTCAACCCTGAAGTAAATTTACTATGATCGTTTTTTTTTTTTGCTAGCAACACGCTCAACCTACGTTCACGCATTTCTGACCGCAACTCAACTGAGCCAACAAAACTAGTCTCAGATCACTTACTCATTCATAGCGAACATAGAACTTGAGCTGAGGACTCGCACACTTTATTTAAACACACGAATTTTATGCATCTATGGAAATTTAGTGCATGAGTCTGGTTCTTTTAGGGTTACAATTCGTGGCCATCAACCGCCTAAGGTTTCTCAATAGAGGTAAAAGCAAAAGAAAACCCTCATTGGGACTTTGATAACTGGCCGCCTAATAGATGTAACCGTTTAATTGGTGACCGGGTTGGACTGCATTACTTTTCAATCATTTCGTTATAGACCCTATTCATAAATGGCTGCCAATTAAAAATTCTTTTGTGAGTATCAAATTTAGCCCAACCTCGTTTTTGAGTTGATAATTCAAAGTAATTTTTTTTCTCTCAAACTAGGTTAGTTGGGCTAATTTAAATGCATACAAAAGAATTTTAAATTGGCAGCCATTTGCGAATAGGGTCTATACAGTAATAAAACAAATATCATCTTTAGTTGGTACATCAAGTTTTATTTACCATACTTACAGTACATGGCATTAGCTACTTAACGCTGCCTTTACATGTTTATCCGGCACTAGATTTTTTTGGACGGATGGACACAATCTGTTTACATCTTGCAATTTATCACTGCGAGATTCGCAAGTAAAATGCTGAAAACGAAGAATTATCAAACAATGGACAGCGCCCCAGTTCACCAAGAGGTAGAGATGTGAATTACTACTTAAAGTACTATTTCAGTCAGTCTTTGGTTAAACCAAGAGAGGATAAAGGTAAGTGTCCTTGATCTCGTCTTGGTCAACATCTTACGCTCAAATGTCTCGGAGCATATATAGTCTTCCCCGATACAGCAGAAACCAAAAGCCCTGCATTTTTCAACAAGTCATTTCAGTCTCAGCGAGCACAGACAAATCAAAAAGGAGCAGAGCAAGAGATATTTCAAAAAACATTGCAACTTAACTTTTCTGGATCTGTCGTAGAGTATTTTTAAAACAACAGGCATCGCCCAGTTTGACAAGAGTCGAGTAGTTTTAAAATCGAATGCCTGATATTGACAGTTCTTGTCCGTCTAAAACGACACAAAAATGTTAAGATAGTTGCAAGATGTCACCCTAAAAGGTATTAGAATAAAACTGCTTGTGAAAAAGGTATTAATCAATTGATGCTATCGGGGTTTTTTTGTTTTGTTTTTTTGCTCACTTTAAAAGTGACGTCAAATAAAGCTCTAAAAGGTTCTGGAAGACAGATTTTTCCTGCCAAAAAACGGATTTTCTTAGAAGAACTGTCAGGTAACTTTTAATTAACGTTTTCTCTTGATTAGCTTTTACCTGACCATGCAAACGATTGGACAAGTGTTGTCTTTTGAATGTACACCATTAACCATAGTAAAACTATTATGTATTTCGTCTCTTTACACTCACTAAGTTAACTCTTGATTCCTCCTTAATGAGGTAAAAGCAAACGGTTGATAACCGCCTGGAAGGACCATTGTCGAAGGCTTAAAAGTTCTCAACGTTAAATTAAAGCTTCATAGAACGTTGTATTCGGTCATCTACTTCTGCGAAAGATGGAGGTTAAAAACCTTCTGCTCTTTTTCCTCCTACAATGTGTTATAAATGTCGCTATTTTCGATACTGGCAATGACCTTTCCCGTTCGGCATACTTCAAGACACTGGAGAACAAGCGACTAATGGGCCATGTTGTGAAAAGCTTCGAGTCGCCGAGTTTGATGTCCTGCAGTCATTCATGCCTGAGAAATACGTGGTGTACTTCTACAAACTTCGAGGTGTTTTCAGAGAATAACAACAAAGGAACTTGTGAATTGAACAAACACATTATCTCTCCTCTCGACGCGGAATTCAGGGATTTAAATGATCAGCACGGTGTTATTTTCTCAATGTTTTTAAAGGTAATGTATTTTAATTTGATTTCCATCCATATTTTTCTTGAGCTAAAACAGATTTCCTTCATTTGCGTATTAAAATGACAAGGAAATATTGTCTTCGGTCACATTTCACTTAAGGTTGGTTTGTTTATAGTCTTCATAGGGAGAAAAAAAAACTTGCTACTTACTGTAAAAATCCAATAACGGTTTTACAACTTTTTATCTTTGACAGGACACAGAGATCATCGAGAAAGGTAAACTCAACGTAACATTCAGTAAAGCAGTAAAGGCGCTTGCTATTATGGGGATGAAAAAAAATCGCAGAAGGAAGAAAAGCCGGACATTATTAGCCAATTGTTAGCCGGGGTACCCAACAAGAAAACGGGAGGGAGAAGTTTGACTCCACTAGAAGTGCAGCAATATTCGTGTTGTCTTTGTACTAAAGAGACCAGAGATAAGTGCCTAGAAGGACAGAAGTTTCTAGTGTATTAAAATGGAATGCCGCTAATATTTATTTAATTTGTAGGTGCTTCTACCTGGGTTAGGCTGAACAAGGGTGGGGTCTGTTTTGGAGCAAAAAATGACTCGTACGGGAAATTCACTATTACGTCACATGGAACTGTTATATCCTTGAAGCTCGTGCACATTTCAGGTTTTATCACGTGCGACTACAGAAACGTCCCTTACGGAAGTCACTGGGGTTGCAAGCAGTTATCCACTATTGCAACAATCGTCACAAATGCAACAAACGAAGTGATTTTTCCACAGAATTACAAGAACCAGGTTTATAGGCTGCCTGGTAACAATGCCAATTCGTCAGAGCTGGTCTTTGATGGGCTCTCCCCTCCCCTGAGGGTGGCTGCTGGAGACGTGTACAGAATTTGGTATCTCAGCGATTTTCTGGACAAATCGGAACAGGACAATGATGGGCACACATGTTGTGATGTTTACGCTCGTTACACTGATTAGATATGGTTTTCAGTGCGAAACGATATAACAATCGATATTGTATAGCTCTAGTTTTCTCCCAGTTGCACAAAAGAAGATGACCTAGAGGATTCTGTAGCCATAAACTGTAATGCAGTCTACTAGAGAAATTCATATCTGGTTATTGTAGTATTAGTAGTTGCCTGGTAATTATTAGTTTCATCAAACCTGTATTTAGGTATGTTGGTATAAAGGGATAAATGCTGGTTTTAGACCTGCACAATTGCAGAACTAAAGATTTGAAGACTTGTAGGTTTGCAAGACTACCTCCCGCAATAAAGTAGTAAGTGACCATTGATCTGATCTATTTTGTTTCTTAAAATCTCGAAGTAATTGATAGGTGAAAGTAAGATCAAAACACACAGTAGTGAGAACAGAGCATTTTGTTTAAAAAATCTTATTCATGTAAGCGTTCCTATCGAGTTTTAGTATAAATCTACTAGCGTTCTATCGCGAATGCCGTTCTTTGACTGACTGCGCTACTCACTATCTACTCTGCTGTAGATAGCGAGTAGCGTAATAGTGTGCGGTTGTTGACAAACTAGTGGCCGCCTTTTTGCGTTTTCGAAGGGATCTCGATGATGTCAATGGTAAGTGCTTTGACGAGAATAAAAACTGCATCTCACCACTTCCCATTTGCACTCATAACATCGTTATGTCAAGTACAACGGAACGAATAAAGTTTTTGTTTGAAACGTTTCTATTTTAGCTTTAGTTTTTAATTTCATTGGTTATCATTATCACTTTGTAATTGCCAACGAACATTTTGCTTCCGTTATCCCCTTTGCAAGCTGTTTACTCCTTGCATTAAACACACAAAAGATGGTTACGTTGTCCAATCATTGGGAACGCTTCTTTGGACTATAAAACGACACTTTGTCTTAAGAATATTACACCTCGAGACTCTCGATAAACTTGACGGGTGTACTGAAATCAAAATTCATAAAATTCGATTTTTTTATTACGAAATGCAATTCATTTAAAATTAAATAGGCATGTTTTGTCTTGATAAGACATGCTTTTATCGCGGAGCCCCATACTCATATAGGAAGGAAAAGGAAACCCATGAGTTGATTTTCTCATGGTTAACGTGGCTAGCGGTATTGCTCGTGGGCACGTACGCACGACGACGACGGCGGCGGCGGCGGAGTTGTCCAACATGGCGGCCATACTCCAAATAATAGGTTGACAGAGACATGCAGTCTTGGTTTACCGTGTACTTCCTTGATAGTGGAAATCCATGTTATGATCAATTGACACCTGTCAAAACAAGGTATCTGCTGACCAGTATCACGTGACCA